AATCGACGAGGCTATAAAGTTACATAGACTAAGATGGCTAGGTCACGTGCTGCGCATGCCTAACCACCGCCTCCCCGACGGGCTTTGCTAGCTGGTTGAAAAAGAGCCAGTGGTGGCCAAACAAAAACATGGCATCAATCCATGAAATCCTTGACAGTTAAACTGAGTCAGGTAGGGAGATGCAGACTTCCGGGTTGGGGCCCTCGGGACTCTAGGAATCAATGGCTAGAGACAATAGGTGACATGGCCCAAAATCGTTGTCAATGGCCACGCAGATGTATTCAGTCTCTGTAATCTTTCATATTCCCTTCTACAATTACCCATTCTGTTTCACTCTTATATTTGTCAAACTCTATTGATTCTCTTCACTCATCTTCTTGTCTACCTTGTGTGCCAATTGGAACGTGGCAACTCGAACTGCTGCACTTCGGTGCCAAGTTCTATGTTGAATCCAGACAGACAGACAGACATTTGACAGGGCTATCAGTGTTGGCCTACATAATAATACTATTAACCACTTTATTCTAAACAACAATAATTATACAGAATGGAATTTTCAGAGTTTTTTTCACATATTGCAACAATTTAGCTGCTTTTATAAATATCTACGTGCATAAAATTAAAAATAATAATAAAACCCACAAAAAACTGGTTTGATGGAAACATAGTGAAGTAAAAGTGGATAGTATCATAGATAATACATGTACCTTAAAACATCATAATAGCTGAAATGGTAAAGAAACGACCATTAAAATATTCAGGGATTGATTGATTGATTACCAGGGAATAATCTCGCTAATTTAGAATATATACATAATATAGTCCTCCCTCAAGTGAAGACGCTGAAAAAATGCAGCAGAGTCTTCTGAACACCTTGGAGAAAAGAAATCTTCGAATGGTTGACACGCGATTCGCTCCTGCTGTCAAATGTAAGATGATGCTTCAGGACTGCACTACTTTGACTCCTAGCTTAGAGTTATGGATATAAGGGGTTGTAGAGCGTGGTGACCAGTTCACTTATTTAGGGGAGTTGCATCAGCCAACGCCAGCGGGTTGATCGTTGACAAAATCTTAGTATGGATACAAAAGGCTTGTTTGACATATGCCAACTTAAGCCATCTTTGGCTCGCTAGACGCATTATCCGGCTGGATGTTAACCAAAGGGCCCATGTGCTGTTCAGTGGTTCGCATAGTCCTCCTTTATGGCTGGCTGTGAGACATGACCATTTAAAGTGGAAGATACAAGAAGGCCGGCTATCATCTGTCTCCGATCGTAGTTGTCTGGGTTCTATCTCCAGTGTTAAGTGGTAAAATAAGGTGGGCAAAATTGAGGTTGGGTATCGGTTGAGTACTACGTAAGAAGAGGAAATCAATCGACGAGGCGGTTGTGAAGCAGCTGCATCGATTGAGATGATGAAGACATGTGTTACGCATGCATGTCTAGCCTAGTTATCGCCTTCCTTGATAACGGGCAATGTTAGCTGTTGACATATGATAGATCAAGCTGGAAAAGAGTTAGCTAGTGGTGGTCAAAACATGACTTCATCAGTCTGTTTAAGCCACCTAGGAAGGTGTAGACTTCCTGGCTGGCTGGGTGGGGTTCTCGGGATGGTAGGAACCATTGACAACTCGAGACAATCGGTGATACGGCTCAAAGTCGTTCTCATTGATGGAGCAGATGCATTCACTTTTTGTGACTTATCATACCTAATAAAACTCAACTGTCTTTCCATATTATAATTCTTTTTGCCTCATATTTCTGTTTATTGTCTTTTTCTCTCATTACTCACTTCTCTTGCTTTGTGTGCTACATGGAGGGAGTGTGGCTACTGGAACTGCTTCACATTTATGCAAAGAAGTCGAACTATCAAATAGACTTGTGTATGTTAATCATCACATTGTAACCGTTAACACAAATATGTGACAGTATATATGTATTTTTTAGAGTATTTAGTGACTTAGGGATTGAATCATTGTCAGAGAAGAGTTTTATGACCATATAGTATAAAGATGATATTGTCCTCCTATGGATGAAGACGTCGACAAAATAAGGAGTCTTCCGAACACCTTGAACAAAAATCATCGAGTGTTTGGCATCCGAGTTGCTTCTGTCAATTGTAAGATGTTGCTGTGAAACCGGACTAATCTGACTCCTATTTTAAAGATAAGGAGTGAAGTGATAGGGCGTGTTGACCGCTTCACGTATTTAGGAGATTGCATCAACCTCCAGATAGACTGATTGCTTACGATGTTTCGCCACTCATACAAAAGGCTTGTGTACTATTTGTCAACTAACAGCATCTCTGGCTTAGTAGATATGATATATGACTATTCATCGAAAAACATGTACTGTGCAACAGTGAGGAATGGCCATTTGAAAGTGAAAGATATCAAGAGGCTAAGCGTAGAGTGCTAGGTAAGGATCGGAAATCGACCAATGAAGTTATAAAGGCAAATAGATTGAGGTGGCTAGGATACATGTTGTGCATGCGAAGCCAACACCTTCCGTAATAAACAGTGTTTACTGACATTGGATTCATTTGGAGAAGTTGCCTTTGACAGCTGGTGTGAGCACTGTAGTGAAGTGTAGGTTACCTGGTCGGGGTGCCTCAGGATGCTAAGGACCAACCAATAGCTGGAGATTATTCGTGGTATGGCTCAAAATAGTTCTCAGTGGCATAGATGCATTCAATGTTGAAATTCAGTTAATCAATTTGGAAAGCTACTTATTACATGTCAGTCACATTGTTCTCTCCGAATATTGATTATTCACACTAAGCTTTGGGACCTAAGTAGCATTATCAAGCTAGCCAATATGTGTATCTAGTCTGAAAATTGCCAGTTTGATGGTATCTTCCTACGATATTTTCAGTTTTCTGTCTTAGGAAGCACAAGGCTTCGGATTATTAATTGGTTTTTTTATGCCTAACCCTAATTTTATTGAACCTATAATACTTTGGCGACGCCCACACATATCTTGATCTCACTTGCTTTGAGACGTTCGATCTTTTGATTGAAAAGAACAAGAAGTTCAGCAAAGATGATTATCTTTTCGGCGATTTCATTCTCAAAAGCAACTGTACAATCGAATTTATATACATTAGTTTACATGAATACAAATATTATTTGTTTAATTCCACATAGTAACGAAGGTGATAATAATTTTTAACTTGATATGAAGGTTTGAAAGTACGAATATAGATCACAAGGGGCTTAGAGATAAGATTGCATAGAATTAGAAAACAGTTACAACGTATGCAAAATTAATATTTGATAACTGGAGAAGTAATTTCAAAGGCGAATAAAAGGTGATAATTGTTTTCAACTTGATATGAGTTACAAGAGGCTTAGAGACGCAGGGATAGAACGAATTACAGGTGTGAACAAAATGAGCATGGAAACAAATTGGAATCATAATTTCCAACTTGAAATGTAAGTTAGGAGTCGGAAACACACTTCTTTGTACTACGGAAGCTCTTGCCATATGCATCAAAAAGCCAGAGCTATGTGTTCAAAAGAAACTAGTCCAGCATTTACAGCTACCATGGACCTAGTTCGGTATGTTCCCTAATCCTTCAGTTTTTTTTTGTTTTGTTATCTGTGTGTGTGTAATTTTCTCTCTTTGTCTTCATTCAATTCATCCTATTTTTTCAGTTATAAAATCAGTTATTTTAAGTCTGTTTCCATGCTCCTCCTGATCACACTTGTAATCCGTTTAGAATAATTATTTTACAATTATATTCTAATCCTGTGTAATTTTTTTGGTTTCTAAGCCCCTTGTGATCTATATTCGTACTTTCAAACTTTCATATCAAGTTAAAAATTATTATCACCTTCGTTACTATGTGGAATTAAACAAATAATATTTGTATTCATGTAAACTAATGTATATAAATTCGATTGTACAGTTGCTTTTGAGAATGAAATCGCCGAAAAGATAATCATCTTTGCTGAACTTCTTGTTCTTTTCAATCTGACGTTCAAATGGGTATTTTCCACATTCTATCTTGTGTAGGACTTCGAAGGGATTTTTCAAGTGGAGCTGAGTGTCCTGAATTCACCAGATGTGTTCTGTTACCGAGCATTCTTCCTTTGCTAACCAGACTAGATAGTGTTTCTGAAAGTGTTTCACTAGCCGAGCTATCAAGCCGAGGAATTGCATCAGTGGAAGGAAGGCAAGATGATAGAGATGAAGATGAAAACAAAGATGAGTGAGTAATAGAGAGGTTTCGCGTGCGTTTCGGATTGTGAGGGCAATTGTTACTTCCCGGCTGCCCACACCGTGGAAGTTGGTTGCGTGACCGCAGAGCCCAGGGGACAACTGCTTGGGGCCGGTCACACGCGGCCTGCTTTTGTTTGTTCTTTGTTGTTTTGTGTGCCTCAGTAGCATATTTATCACTCCTGGCCTGTGACACGGTAGCAGGAAGCGCGGTCGTTGTTAATCCGGGCCACGGCCGATCCGGCATGAAGTTTTGTGATTTTGTATTTATCATGATGTTGGATTGGGTAGCTGCTTTTTGTTTAACCGCTATCCAAACAACCTGCCTGGCATGGTAGGACTTCAAGAGACATAAGTCTCAGCCAGTATAACTTGAATAGATCATTGCGGTGTTCAGGTATTTTCAGGTATTGGTTTTGTAGGGATTTTTGTTTGATTGCATGGAGGATTTCATCATGAGCTGACATCAGTTAGAGAACCACAGGAAAACTTGGGAGTACTGGAAAGCTGTTTCGTCCTTGTTTTGGGACCCTTCAGCAGTATGCACCCACTGAGGTTCGAACCCAGGACCTTCTGGTTATAAGGCGAACTCGTGCGTACTGCTGAAGAGTCCCAAACTGGGATGAAAGGGCTGTTCAGTACTCCCAGCTGGTTTCCCAGTGGTTCTCTAACTGGTGTCAGCTCATGATGAAATCCTCCATGCTCTTAATAATACTTTGACTATATTCTTATATACTTTTGATGTATACTTATAGTATGGTGATTACTGAAATCGTAAAGAATGCGAGATGATACAAAAAATCTCATCGCTGGTGGATTGTCTGGTTTTACAGTTCGATTCCTAACTCAACCATTAGATGTTATGAAAATTCGTTTTCAGGTAAGGCGGATATTTGTATTAACCAATTAGTCATAATAATAACAATCAAGTTACAAGTTGAAGATATTAAGCCTACAGGAAAATCTTATTATTCCGGTGTTGTACAAGCCTTCTCTCGGATATATACAGAAGAGGGTATACGTGGCCTATGGAAAGGTCATGTACCAGGACAATTTCTTTCAGTTACATTTTGTGGAGCACAAGTGAGTGATTTTGTTTTTTTCCCCAGTGTAATTCAATATTGGCGCATTACCATAATAAGACCCTCATAGTTGGGGGGTGGTGGTGGTGGTGGGTATTACATCATTTCACCGCAGATACTTATTGGTGTAAGCACTTTGAGTTCCAACCAATAAGTTTTAGGTTCCATAGTGGGGGGTTGTTTCGCGTCACCAACCTTCACACAATAACTGTAGCCCCCCCCCATAAACGACCTGTTACGTCCAACAATCATTATATTTCTTGACCTGAAGGCGACATTCGATTCTGTCGACCGAGAGGTACTCTGGCGATGCTTGGCTGTAAAGGGAATGCCGAGAAAATACATTGCACTGATTAAAGCACTCTACTCGTACTCATGCAGCCAGGTGAAGGCTTACGGAGAGCTGTCATCTGAACTGGTGACGACTAGTGGTGTCCGTCAGGGATGCCCATTATCCCCTTTTCTATTCAACTTCATCATAGATGTGTTAATGGACTTAACCCTAAGTGACTTCAGCGACTCAGAGATTGACTTGCTACCGGGGAATAATCTCGTTGACTTGGAATATGCAGATGATATAGTCCTTCTAGGCGAAGACGCTGACAAAATGCAGAGTCTTCTAAACACCTCGAGGAGAGGTAATCTACGAATGTTTGGCATGCGATTCGCTCCGGCCAAATGCAAGATGATGTTACAGGACTGGACTACATCAACGCCTAGTATAAAAATAGGAAGTGAAGTGGTAGAGCACGTTGACCGCTTCACTTATTTAGGAAGTACCATCAGCCAGCGCCCACGGGTTGATATCTGACGAAATCTCAGCACGGATACAGGGGGCTCGTTTCGCATTTGCCAGTTTACACCGACTCTGGCGTAGACGAGATGTTCGACTGTCGATTAAAGGGCGGGTGTACTGCTCATCAGTCCGCTCCGTCCTCCTTTATGGCCAGCTGTGAGACCTGGCCACTGAGAGTGGAAGACATGAAAAGATTAGCTGTCTTTGATCAAAGGAGCCTGCGTTCTATCTCCCGTGCTAGGTGGTGGGTGGAATAGGGTGAGCAATATTGAGGTCAGGCTTCGGTCGAGTGCTAGGTAAGGAGGGGAAATCAATCGATGAGATTGTGAAATTACATCGACTGAGATGGTTAGGACATGTGTTACGCATGCATGCCTAGTCATCACCTTCCTCGACAACGGGCAATGTTATCTGACTGACACAGAGTCAGGCTGGAAAAGAGCTAGTGGCGGTCAAACCAAAACATGGCTTCACCAGTCAATGAAATCCACAACAGTTAGTTTAAGTCATAAACGTAGGAAGATGTAGACTTCCTGGTTGGGGTCCTCGGGACCGTAAAAACCAATGGTTGGAAACAATTGGTGATATGGCTGGTTCAAAATCATTCTCAATGACTGGGGGAGGTGCATCCACTCCTTGTGAATTATGATTTCCAATGAAACCATATTATTCTTCGTTATTACCATTCCTTTGTCTCACAACTCTGTGTACTGTCTCTATTATGCGTTTCTTCTACTTTCTTCTCTTGCTTTGTGTTCTACATGGAGTGTGGCAACTTGAAAACATACATACAGATAGACAGACCTGTTGCGGCTAAGGTTAAGTAAACTTCGGTTTTACTTTCGGAATACTGTCATCATATGGTCATACTTTCATAGTCTGTTTCTCTCAGGCAAATCCTGCATTCATGAGGCTACGGCGGTGGAGGGGGAGGTCTTCCTCGCAAAAGTGAAAGTGCGAATTCGAATATCTGGCGCTTAAAACTGGGTTTGTGGAGATGCTTGTCTATCTAGAGAGTGAGAGAGAGAGGAGCTGGTGTATATGGGCCCCTAGAATCCGAGTGGATCGAATGGTGTATAATGAACTTGTTTTGTTCACTGGAACATAGGTGCTCCACTGGCGACTTCTCGTTGAGACTTTAAGGCAAAGAAAGCCTTGGAGTGGAGTGTAGCTCCTTAAAAACAACCATTTGCTTTGGCGTCTGGATAGTATACTAGTACTGGCGTAAACTATGCGATTTTATATGGCGTGTTTCCTGGTGACTGTGATGTGTTTTAATGAATATAAAAGTAAAGTTTTTAACCGTTGAGTGTGCATCGCTGGTTCAGCATTAGATCGCTCGTCAACCACTCACGCAATCCTCGGTTTGATCTCTGGTTGACGCACTTCTAAACCTCACTGTCTAGCCGGTAATAAGGCCGGTCGGTACAGAGGGAAGGTTGGGTGTGAGGCAAGCAATCTCACCCCTTAAAAATGAGGACCCCACTGTTATCAAAACATCAGAGCTCTAGCTTGAAGCCGTCCCTCTATGTTCCACTCGGAACTTGAAGAAATGAAAAAATAAATTTTACCACTGGGGCCGCCATTAAGATGATAGCCTGCAACTTCCTGTGTCTTTTCTAAATGGTAGTTAATAACTTTATCGATTGTGGTAGTGTTGTTTTGATCTGATCACTGTTAACTTTCCACCTCTGATCCCGTGTAGAGGCATCTCACTAGCTTCACCATTCAGCTTTCAACCAAATGTGCTGAGGGTTCGACCCCTAGTCCGTCTATCCACCTACTTCAGCCTGGTTAACCAGATAGTCTTTGCTAACCACCTTAGCCCCTGGTACATGAAAGGTGCATTCCAGGCAATTGAGTCATAAACTTTCCCTATGTGATCATATCACAGATTACATTGTGTAGAGCGACAGAAGGCAACAGTTGATGAAGGTCTGCAGTAGCCTGTTGAAAATCCTTTTCATGTGACACACAAACAGCGCAAATTTCTGATCTGTATAGAATAACTGAATGACTGATTCCATATTTGGTGTTGAACAATATCCGAATCTTGTGCTTTATTCTGGCTTGAGTTTAGAAGATTTCCAAAATGGTTTCAGGTTGACGAGGGCGTATCTTTTCTTTCCAATTCTGGCTGGTTCCGACATCTTCATCGGTTCCGCCAGTGGTTGAAATCATGCTCGCTAGATAAGTGAAGCCAAGAAGCAACCTCTATCAAATCTCTCCCGTTGATGGTGATGGGTGCTGGTTGTTGTCGTTGCTGTTGGTTGGTTGGTTGATTGATTGTCTTTGTCACCTCTGTCTTCTTTATGTTCACTTAGAGTCTGTTTACTGCCGGCTTCTTCAGCCAGTTTGTTGGATTTCGCCTATAAGTCCTCGAGTTTGTGCGACATTCGACATATATCATCCACGCGTGAAATCCACATCTTCCAGAGTCTTCTTATCGGTGGTCCAGCGTACTCCTGTCTCCTCGCTTCCAACTCATAGTCTGACGCATAATCCAGTCAGTTCACCACAATTAAGAATATCATCGTAGGTGATAATAGGCAGACAGTTCTGTCTCTTACTCCTGTATTCACTTCGAATGCCCGCCTCGCTGAGTTTTCTTTTGTGGATCACTTGACACCTGGTATTGTCATCTAGCCCGGTGTTGAATGAGGCTGACAAAGACTTGAGCACTGTACGCTGTAGTGTTGAAGTACTTTCCAAATTTATTACTGGGTCAATGTTGTGTGTGTCGAGGGCCTTTTCGAAGTCGATGAATCTGTCGAGGTAGAGGTTTAGAACCGGTCGTATGAAGTATTATTATTACTACTAATATCAGTATGAGGGGTTATTTTCATTTTACTTTTTTTTTCTGCTTTTTATTTCAATTTTTAGTTTGCAAGTTTTTATGCCATTGAAAATTTTCTGATTGATCAAACTAAACCTAAACAGTCATCAATTTGGCTAAATGATCTTGTCGCTGGTTGTATGACTGGAATGATCGCGTCGACAGTTTGTGAACCGTTGGATGTGATGCGTACACGTCTTATTGCACAGGGGAGAAATCAGGTTATTTAAATTTTATTTCCAGTCGCTGTTTTTGATTGTTTCAAAAATTAATGTATGAAAATTTTTTAATTTTGCCCGGAGGATTGATGATCAGTTAGAGAAGAACCATTTAAAACTAGTTTGGAACTCATCAGCAGTTCGTACCCACAGCCCAAGGTTCAAACCCAGAACCTTTGGGCTACAAGGCCAAGCTCGTTGGCAACCATTCATCCCTCATCGCTGGGACTCGATTCAATGGGAAGCCTTTGAATTCTAACTTTTACCAATTTGTGATTTTAGCATGACCAGCTGCGGCCAATGTCATTGGCGGAAACTTCATCCTTACTCCCGACTGGATGCCCCCCCCCACTGGTCAGGTCTTTTCACTAGAACTCTGTGCAACGTCGTCCTGCAGCTAGACAGTCACTGGTGAGCATCAGGCTGAAAATTTCTCATGTTATGTGAATGAAGAAGACATCACAAGTTAGCAAAACGGGGTCCATCTCTTTTCATGATGTTCACTTCAAAGCTGTACAGTTATTCATGGTGGGGGTTATATCAAACACAATGTTAATTTTTTGTTTACTGTGTAAAATGACTGTGAATAATGAGTCAGTTAAGATGCTATGAGAGGTGTTGATGGGGGTATTCACAGTTATAGCACTTCTGATTGTGAACCAGTACACCTCCTCTTTGCACAGCCATTCTGGGTAATGTTCCCTAACACGTTTTGATAGAACCAGCATAAAACAACCTATGTTACTAGCTCTACAGGAGTAGGCGAGTTGATATATGCACATTGAAGTGGTCATATGCGGAAGTCTCTCTTTCATATTACTTCGAATCAGTGGGCAGTTGGAGAATATCACTCTTAGAGTTGTTGCAGGAAAGGTCTTCTGTCTTTGGGGAACTGGAGATTCTCCTCTTTATACTTTGGTTGGACACTAGTAACTAGTGTGATGTGTCTAGTCCTTTCTTTCGTGCAGACTGAGTTCTGTTAGTCAGGTTTTCAATGTAGCCACCATTCTAGGTAGCTTGCCATCACAGTGTAAATTGCATTTGATGATATTAGATGGTTGGAGGCAATCGGCCACAGGAAGCCTTGCTTGTTTGACCTAGGTTTCGTGCTAGTTGGCACTCACCAGTCAGTCAGCAAGGTAAGCGTATCTACAACCGCTTTGAAGGAACTCATGTCCCACCCATCTGAGATTCGAACCTGCGTCATCCAGTTCTGCCCACAGTCAGAGACGTCACCGCTGAGCTATTCAGGCCTTGTTGACTGACTGGTGTGCACCAAATAACATGAAACCTGGGTCGAAGGATTCCTGCCTATTGCCACGAACCATCTAATATTCTCCTCTTAAGGATATTTATCGCTAAGAAACCTGTGGAACCTCTACTATGGACGACCTAGTTTTGTTCGACTGCTTAGTTTTCGTTTGTTTGATGTTTTATTTTCTTCATCTTCAGTTCTGATACTCCCCGCGCCTTCACACACTTGCCTTCGTTAGAGAAAACACAATTAACTATTTTACTATTTTTTTATGGACATCGGATTGACAAGAAGATATGATAGAACTTTAAAAAGATCATATCCACAGAGAAACATCATGGAATGGTCAACTGACAAACTTCTATAGTTAGATACGTGTCAGTCGAAAAATAGCTCTTATCATCTCGTTGGTTGGTCCACCGTATCAGCAGTGACTGCTTAAAAGAACATCTTCTATTTCTCAAAAATGTCTTAGCTCATAATGGATATCCGACACGTTTCATGGAGAAGAACATGAAATCACAACCAAAAAGAGAGAAGAATTCACTTCAATACCAGAGGAGACTTAGCTGAAGATAGCCTTAAGAGGAGAATCTCCAGTTCCCCAAAGAGAGAGAAGACCTTTCCTGCAGCAATTCTGGCGATGATATTCCTCCAGCTGCTCACTGATTCTAAGCAATGTGAAGGACAGACTTCTGCATGTGACCACTTCGATTTGCATATATCACTTCACTTGCTAGTGTAGAGCTAGGTGCATATGTCGTTCTATGTGGGTCCTATGAAGAAGTCTTAGAGAACATTACTCAGAATAGCTGTGCTGTGCAAAGTGGAGGTGGATTGGTTCACAATCATAGTTCAAAGGCTATTGTGGTTTAGTAACAAAATTAAAGTACGGTGTAACTGTAGAAGACAAGAAATTTGGCAAAGGAATGTTTAGGAATTCAGTTTTTCGAATTCAGTATCGCTATATAGCGCTATAAGCACTACAGGCGGAACTGACAAGGATATCAAAGCAGCGAAGATTGGGGAAGCAAGACAAGCCTTCATTACTCTTAAGCCTGTGTGGAGGTCAACAGCACTCAGCATCAAAAAAAGATCCGGATTTTCAACTCCAATGTGAAGTCAGTGCTACTCACTATACGGATCAGAGACTTGGGGCCGTGTCATAAAGAGCACGTCAAACAAACTAAAGACCTTGATCAACAGCTAGCTGTCTTCGCTCAATACCTCGCTCAAGATGAGATGGGCCGGCCAGAAAAGATCAGCAACAGGGATCTCTGGCAATGAGCGAACCAACCAGGAACTGATTGTGAAACAAATAGGCAGGAAGAAACGGAGATGGATTGGTCATACTCTGAGGAAACCATCAAGTGTCATCACTAGACAGGCCATTGCTCGAGTGGAACCCGAAAGGAAAGCGGGCGGTGAGTTGGTCGTCAGTGCAAGGGTGACTTGGAGGAGGTCATGTGAAGAGGAGATGAAAGCATGTGGGCAGACTTGTAGCGGGGTGAAAAAGTTAGCAGAGAACCGAAGGCAATGGAGACGCGCAGCTGAAGCCCTATGTTCCTCTAGGAATTAAAGGAAATATTAATAATATAGTGCTAAATGATGTACATCTTATCTTCAAATCACCATTTGCACAGATCTTCCATGTTGTGCTATTTCTGTCCTTCTTTGTGTTCCTTTCATGTCGTCTTCCAAGTTTCTCCGTAACGCTGAATAATCATTCGCCTTGTCTGACATCAAATCTATCTCCCTGCTATTTGTTTTCTTTTATGCTGACAAACATCCGCTTATTAGATTTGATAATGTGAAATATTCCCATATTATGAAATAAAAGTCAATCTGAACGAAGAATATTCTCTTCAATAATTTCTCTTCCGGTTCTTACAATTATAATATATAATATATTTGTTGTCGTTACAATAAAGGCCAGTTATGCAGCGGATACATTTTTAACGTAGAATAACAGATTAGGTCTATTTGTTCCGAAGACTGTGTAGAGAAAGAACTCCAGGTCATCCAAGATATTCTAAGCAAGAACGGATATCCAGAGAAGTTCATCAAAGCCAACATAGGTTACAATAGTCGCAAACATGAACTGGCAACGGTGGAGAAAAAGCCTCCGTTTTTACGTCTCCAATTCAAGGGAGATACTCCTGCGGAGATTCTATCGCAACGTTTAACCAGGGCGATCAAGAAAACTTTTTATTCTGCACGTCTGTGTCTATCTTTCACTAGTCGTCCAATGTTCACCCACCAACTCAAAGATGTCTTACCTAACCTTAACTGTTCTTCATGCATACACCATTTCAACTGTTCCTGTGGTTCATGTGATATAGCGCGCACGATTAGGCAGGTTCGTCTACGGGTTCGAGAACATTTACCAGCTTGGTTCAGCAAGGGGGAAATTAAGTGCATATAAAGCTCGATCCTGTCCTGTCACACTTGGTCGATACTGGACATCGTATCGATGTCAACACAGCTTTCAGGGTTGTGTACCGAATTTCGAAGTCGTTATCACGTACAGTTCGCTTACGTCTCCTACACATAGCTGAAGCTGTTGCAATAAGATCGACTAAACCGGAACTGTGTATCCAAAAAGAACAAGTCCAGACGCTGTTTCTACCGTGGACAAACTTGGATTGATGATTCCTGTTCTTCTCACCGAGAGTGCTCCTTCCCCTTAACTCTCTTGCTTATTTTTCCTTTGCTTATTATTACAAATATTATTATTGCAATTATTATTATTCGTCATAATTTATGCCCTTCATGTAAACATTCCCTCAATACTATTGAATTCTTCATTTATACTATCCGGACTTATTATTAGTGACATTATCTGTTTTCTCAATATATGCCTCCACGTGTTTCATTTCACATATTCGTTATTTCATTATGAACCTCTCATTGCAGTCTTCCTATCTCCTGTCTAACACAGACCACTTTGTACTAGCCACTCACTCACCTGACATATTTTATAACCTTGAACTGACTTGTCAATTTTCTTACCCCAGACTCTACAAATCTATTATGATTAATCACCACCATTGTCTCCTGTTTTACAATATTTTGTAATCTATTTCAGCCAACTAGCACGTTTGTCATACACAAATACGACTATTTATTTTGACACCCCATAACCACTAATCTGTTATTCTACGTTAAAAATGTATCCACCACCGCATAACTGACCATTATTATTGTAACGACCAAAAATATTATATTTTATAATTGTAAGAGCCTGGAGTAAAGAAATTATTGAAAAGAATATTCTTCGTTCAGTTTGACTTTTAAGTCTGCTTATTATACTACTGATGCATTTTATCAGTAGCACGCGCCGCGATGGTAGCATTATTCCCTTGAATTCCGAGTGGGACATAGAGCTTCAACAAGGCATCTTCACTTCATCCCGTTCTCTGCAATCCATCATTTTTAGCTAGCTGGCTGTCTCCACAATTGCCCATATAGAGGCTCTCATCTTCTCTTCATATGATCTTCCCTCCATGTCACCTTCAAACCCAATGCCCGACTCTCCGTTTCGTATTCGTATTCCACTCGAACCACTGCCGCATGGCCCGCGATGTCACCCGACGATCAACATTATCGTTAAAAATATTACTGACCCCTAAACAAAATTTTGAAGATCTTTTTGTATCAGCGTTCAATAATTCCTCGAATTTATGCATTTGAGGCAGAATAAGATGTCGTCCAAATTACAAGAAGATCATCTGGAAGTATACAAATATCAATTTCCCTCCTGTAAGCCAAAATGGAATGAACATAGCTGGAAAACCCTGTCACAATTTTGTTTAAATAAGCAGAAGAGAAGCAAATGAAATCTCATCGCCATTCTTGAGACGAGGACCTATTGTATATGCGCTAAAATTACACTGGGCTGGAATCCAGTGACTGCGAAATTCTAAGTTTGTAAACCGGTGATGTCGCGCTGCCCTTACCCAAGGTAAGGTCCTTCCATACTGAAGTTGTGGATACGCACTGTGACTCTCCTGGAGAATACACATCCACGGTACAATCAACCCACGAGTTGAACTTGGGACCTATACATTAGGAGGCCAAACTGGTTCAACATTCTTGGGATGGAACTCAACACCCCGACTACAAGCCAATGTCATCGTCGGCGACTGACTATTTATCTCCAAACCCAATGCGGGTATCAGTTTAAGTTACGAATTGAAAAAATTTAGAATTCACGGGTCTTTATTGAATTCCGGCCCAATGAGGCTGAGTAGTAAGTAGTGAACGAGCGCTGGGCCTCTCTTAACATCGGGTCAATAACCCAGCCGCACCCACTCATACACTATGAGAAGATTTGTGTGCCGCATCTCTGGGTGCCGTAACAGGCTGGGTTCAGGAGAAACAAGTCATGTATTGATCAAATCGCCACACTACGGATCATCATTGAACAAAGCTTGGAATGTCACTCACACATCTCTCTATCTCAACTTCATTGACTTCGAAAAGGTCTTCGACAGTGCAGCGTCGATGAAGAGGTGATTTGGAAACTACTTCGCTGCTACGGGGTGCCACCGACAATTATACATCTCATCCAACAGTTGTACGACAATGCTGCATGTCAAGTAAACTTCGAAGTGAGGACGGGAGTAAGGCAAAGCTGCCCACTATCGCCAATGATTTTCCTGATTGTGGTAGAGTGGATAATACGACAAACAGCGGGAAATGAGGAAACAGGCATAAAATGGACTCACATAACAAACTTGGCGGATCTGGACTTCGCCAATAACATATATGTCTGATTTCCCACAAAATGGAAGATATCCAAGTGATGAAAAGCAACAAGTTGGAAGAAGAAGCATCCAGAGAAGATAGAACTTCAGATGAACATAGAGAAAACAGAGGTAGGTGATGAAGATTCCTGGCCAACAGCAATAACAACAGACAAGAATCAGCATAAAAGGGAGTAACCTGAAAGAAACAACCTCCTTTACTTACCTGGAAAGCATCGTTTCAACAACAACAGGCGGAACTGACGAGGATCGGGAAAGCAAGGCAAGCTTTCATTTTTGTCAAGTTTGTGTGAAGTTCAACACTCAGGACTCATCAAAAAAATAAGATCGGGATTTTCAACTCCAATGTGAAGTCAGTGCTACTCACTATACGGATCAGAGACTTGGCGCCGCGTCATAAAGAGCACGTCAAACAAACTAAAGACCTTGATCAACAGCTAGCTGTCTTCGCTCAATACCTCGCTCAAGATCAGATGGCCGGTCAGAAAGGATCAGCAACAGGGATCTCTGGCAATGAGCGAACCAACCAGGAACTGATTGTGAAACAAGTAGGCAGGAAGAAATGGATATGGATTGGTCATACTCTGAGGAAACCATCAAGTGTCATCACTAGACAAGCCATTGCTCGAGTGGAACCCGAAAGGAAAGCGGGCGGTGAGTTGGTCGTCAGTGCAAGGGTGACTTGGAGGAGATCATGTGAAATGTTTATGTTTTCAGTGATACAATTATGGCTTAACGACTTGAGAAATAACACTGGGTTTTTTGAGCAATGGGTACTGGAATCAAGTCTCAGTTGGGAGGGGAGGAGTAGTTTGAGATGAAGGGTGGTGGGTGAATCGGACGGAACTTGCGTTTTGCTAGATTCTATTACTTAGCAACCATCAGAACACACGCAAGTAACTTTGAATAACTAACTAGCTAATCACAATTAATTTGTAAGGCAATATGTTTGAAAGGGTTAACTCATGTTCGCTCTCTCTCTCTCTCCCGTATAATATTGATTTAGATTTATTCTGGTTTCCTATTGGGTGTACGTGATCTTATCCGTGAAGAAGGCGTGATCGGTTTATGGAGAGGACTTGGTCCGTGTTTAATATCTGTTGTACCACAGACTACTATTTATTTTACAACTTATGAACAATTGAAACGTTCGTATATTGCATGGAATCCTGTAATTCAAGAGTTACATGAAAAACATGGTAAGTCATTTAATTTCCTTCCAGTTGTTATTATATATTATTCATCTTTTGGGTTCTGAGTTAGTCATATTGTAAAAACAGAAGACAAGGGCCAGCCAGGCAACAGATCGTTTATTAAGGAAATCAACACATATCTATAGATTTTCATGTACATTATTATAGATTATTGTTAGCAGAAAAACACAGTCTTCTGATTGGTGGTTGTTTCTCACAGAAACTTAACCTTGCATTTCTTTGTGACTGTTTCTTGAATGTCAGATTATCCATATGCTAACTGTATCCGCTTACGCAAAGTCTTTGTTCTCATTTTTCTCACGACCAATATTGGGGATATAAACATTGACGTAAATTATTGTCCATCAATTTGGCTAGCAGCCAGCTCTCATTACAGTATGACTTCAGTGACACATTGTTGTTTTATTTTATTTCCTAAAGAGTCTTCTATTCTAGGTGTCTATGTGATTTCCCCAAAGGATATCGTTTCCTTCTCATATGATCTCTTCCGCGATACCACCATCGAATCTCTTTGCTATTCATTGTTGCTCAATATTAAGGTCCACTCGAGTGATTGCCTGACTGGCATGTGATGTTGTTGTCACTCAACTGTTTCTTCAGCTCATATATGTCTGTTTTCAACATAGAACCACTTTGCACCGATGTACCGCAGTTTGAGTCGCCACACTCCCTCCATGTAGAACACAAAGCAAGAGAAGAAAGTAGAAGAAATGCATAATAGAGACAGTAAACAGAGGTGTGAGACAAAGGAATAGTAATAACGAAGAACAATATAGTTTCATTGGAAATCATAAGTCATAAGGAGTGGATGCATCTGTGGTGTCATTGCGAACGATTTTGAGCCATATCACCGATCGCTTCCAGCCATTGGTGTTTACCGTCCCGAGGACCCCAACCAGCCAGTCAGGAAGTCTACACCTCCCCGTATCTGGCTCAAACTAACTGTTGTGGATTTCATTGACTGATGGAGCTGTGTTTTGGTTTGACCACCATTGGCTAACTCTTTTCCAACCTGACCTATCCTGTGTCAGTCAGCTAACATTACCCATTATCGAGGAAGGCGATGGCTAGGCTTGCATGTGTTACACATGTCCTAACCATCTCAATCGACGTAACTTCACAACCTAGTCTATTGATTTCCCCTACTTACCTAGCACTCTACCGAAGCCTGACCTCAATATTGCTCACCCTATTCCACCCACCAGCTAACACGGGATTTAGAACGCAGGCATCTATGATCAAAGACAGCTAGCCAGCCTTTTCATGTCTTCCACTCTCAATGGCCCGGTGTCGCAGCCATAAAGGAGGACAAAGAGAACTGCTACTGAGCAGTACACCCGCCCTTTGATCGATAGCCAGCCAGATATCACGTTTACACCAGAGATGGCGTAAACTGGCATATGTGAAACCAGCCTTCTGTATCCGTGCCGAGATTTCGTCAGCGATCAACCAGCTAGCGTTGGCTGATGCAACCTCCCAAATAAGTGAAGTGGTCAACACCCCTAACAACCACTTCAGTCCCTTTTTCTAAGCTATCAGTCAGTGTAGTCCAGTCCAGTCCAGTCCTGCAACAATGTCTTACATTTGACCACAGGAGCGAATCGCATGCCAAACATTCGTAGATTGCAGCTCTTCAAGGTATTCAGAAGACTCTGCTCGGTTTTGTCAGCGTCTTCACCTGGGTGGGGGGTGGGGAGGAGTATATCTTCTGTCTGTCATATTCTAAGTCAACGAGACCATTATTCCCTGATAGTAACAAGTTAATATGTGTAAATCAAGTCATGTGTGTGTAAGTCATATGTGTAATTCATCCCCATTTGTCTCCTGCCTATTTGTTTGACGATGGCTTGTTGGCTGCTAGTTTGGTGTATCTGCCAGGGTAGTTGTTTGTTGTTGCCCATCTTTTTTGATCGGCTATCTGATCTTAAGTATTGATCAGATTGGTAAAGAGCCAGTGATGATGGTCAGATGAAAACAATGAAATCCATAAAAGTTAGTTTAAATCAGCCAGCCACCCCAGGGGGGCGGAGGTGTAAACTTCCTGACTGGCTGGTTGGTGTCCTTGGGATGGTAGAAACCAATGAAGACTGGAAACAGTTGATGATATGATACAAATTCCTCGTTCTCAGTGATGGCGCGGATGCATTCACTCTTTGTGATTTGCCATACCCAGTGAAACTTTATTGTTCTTCCATATTACTACTGTTCTCATTCTCACACTTCTTCTTATCTCTCTTTTGAACCTCTGTTTACTCTCTTCACTTGCTTTGTGTGCTATATGGAGTGTACTAGCTATAATAATAATAATAATAATAATAATAATAATAATAATAATAATAATATTCCCTTGCGTTCCTAGTGGAACATAGGGCCTCATCAACACATCTCCTCGTTTATTCTATTTTCTACTGTCCTCTTCAACTGGGTCCACGATTGACCAAACTCTCTCATCTCTTCTTCACACCATTTCCTCCATGTCACCTACACGCCGACGGCCCACTCGTAGTCGCTTCCCATTTTGATTCCATTTGGACAATGACCTGCATTGCGTGGCGATGTCATTCGGCGGCCTCTTCAATCTATGCCCAACCGATCCATCTCCACTTTTGTCTTACATATTTGTTGAATGATCGGCTCCTGGTTGGTTTGTTTCCAGCCCGAGTTTCTGGTCATTTGATCTTCAGTATGGAGCCAATTAGCGAAGGTGGCAGCTGTAGATAAAAGTCTGCAGTAGCCTGTTGAAAATCCTTTTCATGCGACACACAAGCAGTGCAAGTTTCTGATCCATATAGTAGTATAACAAAAAACTGGAAGTGCTAAATTTCTGAGTAAAGTTCTATGTTGAAACCAGTCAGTCAGTCAGTCAGTCAGTCAGTCAGTCAGTCAGTCAGTCAGTCAGTCAGTCAGTCTTCAGTATTGATCCATCTAGGGTAATTGGTTGATACAGGATATAATAGAAATTGTAAACCGAATTTGTGATCTGTCGCCCAAATTTTAAAGTAAACTATAAATTCAGTTCTGATTATTTAACAACTGTCACGAAAAAAATTTAGTCATCAATAGGTAAATGTCATGAACAAATTACTCTTACTCAATCTTCAACCTTCACTTAAAGCCTTTAACGACCCCAATCAATTCGCCTATGAACACAGTAGAAGTACTTCAGATGCAGTTACGGTCTTGTACCATAACATTGTCCCCAGCTTAGACAATGGGGCTAAATTTGTTCGCTGCACCTTCCTAGATTACACATATGCTTCCGACTCAGTACCAAGGGGACATTTTGTTAAACAAGCTTGCCGAAACTCAAACTGACTGTTGGGTTGTCAAATGGCTGCATTCTTATTTCTCAGGAAGAAAGCAGTACACTGTATGCCAGGGAAAGTCGTCCACTTCTTTGCTTACTGAGGCTGGTGTCTCTCAAGGTGCTGTCCTTTCTCCTTTTCTGTTTTCTTTCTTCTTGCATGATTTGCCTCACTCTGATGAAATGAACTTTGTTAAGTATGCCGGTGATCTAACTATTTCAACCTGTTTTAACTCCCAGCTTAGCTGTGCAAAGATGAACAGCTTTCTATCAGGAGTCAGCAAATGGTCTTCGTCTAACGGTCTCAAACTAAATCCTTCCAAATGCCAGACTGTTAATTTCAGTTTCCGATGTAAACGAAAGTTAAATGAAGCTGTTGGTTCCTATGACCGTTGCAAAATTGATGATATTGACATAGAAATCAAGTCTGAAGTTAAGTATCTTGGATTCATTCTTTCTTCTGACCTATGCTGGTCTTCCCACGTCTTAGCGATTTCTAAAAGAATATTTCGTCTGACATTTTACATAAAGAAGTTAAGGCACTCAGGCATAACCCAACCCCTCCTCTTACAGTTTGTCAACTCACGTATTTTACCTATTCTTCTTTACTCTTCACCCTTATTCTTTCCTGGATTGCTTAAAAAAGACTATGTCATACTTCGTAGAACTCTGAAGACTGTCAGTAGGACGAGTGATATCCCATTGGGCCATATCGTTGACATCATCATTGATAGGCGCTTGATTTCATGCAACAAATTTGCCAAAGGAATTTTGTCAGACGACTTTGAACACACCCACTCTACTCGCAGCTCCAACCTTGTGTCTTCTCAGGTAAAACAAGAAGTCTTTACAGAAGACTTTATGCACGTACGTCTAAGTATAAAAATTCCACTATCCCGTATTTGGCGGCACGTACTTTATGTGATGAAAATAGTGTAAGGCATCACGTAACTAACCTTCATCCTTCACTCTTACACCATCAAACTTTATTGTTATTATATTTCTTATATTCATAATCCTCTCAATTTTTTTTTGTTTTTATTTATCTATTTATTTTTCATAATGGTGAACATAATTTAGGCTGTGTTGTAACAGTTAATTTTGTATTTCCCCTCACTATGCTGCTATATCAGCAGAACATTAGATTCAATACTCTATAACAGGCTAAAATTTCCAAACTGAATCGACAATACTGTTTGAAAAAACTCACTGTTATTACTGTTATTATTATATTTAATAATCTCAATTCGTGCTTCGAATATTTTTGACTTTATATCGTAAACATGGACAAATTCCTCTGGTTACTTTTGTTTTAGTTTTTAATTTTATTTATATTTTGAGTAAATCAGATGCAAGATATTCTGACAAATGCTGAGAATTCCATTCTGTATTATAAGGACTGTCTGTTTTGGAATAAAGTAGATTATTATTATTAACATTGTAAGCAGGTTTTAAGGGTTAATATTTAGGTAGTTTCAGTTTCCTGGGAAATTATCACACGGAAATGATTCACCAGCCTAAATTATCTACACATAGACGTGGCTGACTGGCTAATTGACTGGGTTTCAATATAGAATTGTGCACAAAAGTAGAGCAGCCACTTCAAGTTGCCACATTCCATGTAGCAGACAAAGTGAGAGAAAATAGAAACTCAAAAGAACACTATGAGAGATCGTTAAGAGTGATTGCACAGTGGCACAGTGGTTAGGACTCTCGCTGACCATACAAATGGTCCTGGGTTCGATCCATTGTCGACACACACCTGATATCTATGGTTGGCCTGGAAAATTTGGGCTACCGATATCCATGCTGAAAATTCCATACTTGTACCAAAAAATACAGTGTGGAATTAAGCTGTAATCAAAAATAAAAAAAAATCGTATGACCTGAATGTACCCCAAATATTCATCAACCTTATTCAACAGCTGTACGACAACGGAACATGTCAAGTCATCCACAACGGAAAACTCAGCGAGGCGTTTGGAGTAAACACAGGAGTCAGACAAGGGTGCCTGCCTATTATCACCAATGATATTCCTAATTGTGGTGGACTGACTGGATTATGCTTCAGACAGTGGGAAACGGGCAGACAGAGATATCCTGGACCGACGTGAAGAACATAGAAGACCTGGATTTCTCGCGTGGATGATTTATGTTTGATGTCACACAAAATCGAAAACCTACAAGCGAAAATCAACAAACTGGTCGAAGAAGCAGCCGGAGAAGACACGACTCCAGGTGAATATAGACAAGACGGAGGTTATGAAAATAACCGACCAACAACAACAACAACATCAAAAACAACAGCAACATCCAGCGCCAATCACCATCAACGGGCGGGATTTGAAAGAGGTTCACTCACTTATCTAGCATTGAGCATTGTCTCAACTACACACAGTCAGAACCAATGAGGATGTCAAATCGAGCGAGAATCGGGAAGACGAGCGAGAAACACATCAACATCATCAACCTGAAACCAATCTGGAAATCTTCGTCACTCAGCCGGCATCAGCAACAAAATTCAGTCGGATTTTCAATACAAACAACGTCAAGTCAGTCATTTTTTCTATACGGATCAGAAACTTGGCGGGCGGGTCACAAAGAATATTTCCAACAGCCTGTTGCAGACCTTTATCAACAGCAACAACTGTCTTCGCTTGCTCTATACGGAAGATCAGATGGCCGGGCCGGAAAGAATCACCAGAATCACCAACAAGAAACTATGGGAACAAACAAACAAACAAAACAAGAAAGAATCGCCAACCAACAAATATGCAGGAGAAAGTGGAGATGACACATTGGACACTCGCTGAGGAGGAGGCCGCCGCGCGTGCGTCAGGCTATTGCTCGAGTGGAACCAGGCAGAAAGGGAAGCGGCGATTGGGACGTCAGTGCAAGCAAGGGTGGGTGATATGGAGGAGATGGTGTGAAGAGGAATTGAAACAGTATGGATGGTGAACATGGATTCAGGTGAAAAGTACAGCAGAAGACAGAAGTGGCAAGTGGAGACGTGCAGTTGAAGTCCTATGTTCCACTAGGAACCCAAGGGAACAACAAAAAACAACAACTTTGCACCTGCTTTGGCAATCGAGTTAACTGTCCAGCTCAGAGAACACAACCACCTCAAAATCAAGGTTCAATTTGTTTAATATTTTCACCGCTTCCCCACATTTTTTCTATCTGTTTACTTACTCCACTAGCTCATGTCATCTTGTATCCCTTATTTGCGAACCTCTGACCTGTACACACTTTAACCTATACTGTAATAATTCATGCCATCTTGCCTTCTATATAAGTGTGTGGATGCTTCCGTCGAAGTATTGTTTTAATGATCCTAAACAATTTGCATATAAACATGGTTGATATGCCTTGGATGCTGTGGTTGTCTTATATCATAATGTTGTTTCTTGTTTAGACAAAGGTGCCAAATATGTCTGTGGTGCTTTCCTAGACTACAAATCTGCTTTTGACTCTGTACCTAGAGGCCTTTTATTAAATAAGCTTTCGTTGACGCAAACAGGATCCTGGGCTAAGAGTTGGTTGCATTCTTAAATTTTTTGATAGAATGCAGTATACTGTATATAATGGCAAATCTTCTGCCTCGCTTACAAAAGCCGGTGTTCCTCAAGGTGCCGTCCTCTCTCCTTTTCTGTTTTCTTTCTTCCTACACGACCTGCCCCATTCAAACGAAACTAACTTTGTCAAATATGCAGATGATCTGACTGTATCACTGCCTATCACTTCCGAGTCTGACTGCTGCAAACTTAATAGCTTTCTGTTGGGCATCAACAAGTGGTCTAAGTCAAATGGTCTTATGTTAAATCCTTCCAAATGTCAGGCACTTGACTTTACTTTCAAGCATCGACGTGACTTACATGAACTAGTTAGTTCTCATGATGCCTGTAGCATAGATGGCACGGAAATTGAAACCAAGTCAAGCATTAAATACCTTGGATTAGTTCTTTCCTCTGACCTTTCATGGTCATCACACATCTTATCTATCTCTAAGAAAATGTTTCGTCTTACCTTCTACATTAAAAAGTTGAGACAATCAGGTATCAACTAACCTTTACTTCTGCAGTTTGTAAACTCGTGTATTTTACCTATTGTACTCTATTACTCTCCATTAGTCTTTCCTGGGCTTCTCAAAAAAGACTATATCATATTACGAAGAGTATTAAATGCTGTGAGTAGAGCTTGTGGTCTGCCACTGCGTGAGCTCGCCAATACTATAGTCGAGAGACACGTAAATTCCTGTACAAAATGGGCAAAGGCCGTACTGTCAGACCCCTTGCACCTCCTTTATTTACAACTATCCCCTTGTATCTCATCAGATAGGACGAGAAGTCAATATAAGAAGTTATAGGCTCGAACCACTAAGTACAAAAATTCTACAATACCCTATTTAGCCCGTACTTTATGTGACGAAGACTCTGTTAGACGTGAAACATATAAGAAGTTATTATGTAATAAGCAAAGTGAATCGACTCTTTCATCGTTCATCTTTCTGTAATTTTATGGTGTCACTCTTTCTTACGTTTAATTATAAATTTGCTACTTTATTTTAGTTGTTATTACTATTATTACTACAATTTTGTACTTTATGCATATTTCTCTCCTTATCGCATACTGTAATTTGCTACATAGCTGCTAGAACAACGTTTTGTTGTTATTATTATCTAATGTTTATTTTTTTGTCATTTTGAGTAAATTAGATGCAATATTGTACTGAATGGTGAAAATTCCTTGCTGTATAATTAGTACTGTTTTTGGAATAAAGCAAAGATTATTATTATTATTATTATGATTTGGCGACTACTTCGCTACTACGGGGTGCCATCGACAATCATACATCTCATCCAACAGTTATACGACAATGCTGCATGCCAAGTAATCCACAACGGGAAACTTACGGAAGGCTTCGAAGTGAGGATGGGAGTGAGGCAAGGCTGTTTATTATCACCAATGATCTTCCTGATTGCAGTAGGCTGGATAATACGACAGACAACGGCAGGCAATGAGGAAACAGGCATAAAATGGACTCACACAAAAAACTTGGAGGGTCTGGACTTCGCCGATAACATTTATGTCTGATTTCCCACAAACTGGAAGATATGCAAGCGAAAAGTAACAAGCTGGCGACAGAAGAAGCATCAAAGATAGGACTTCAAGTGAACATAGAGAAAACAGAGGTAGGTGATGAAGATTCTTGGCCAACACCACCAACAACAACGGACGACAGTCAGCATAAATGGGAGAAATCTGAAAGAAGCAACCTCCGTAACCTACCTACTTGAGAAGCATCGTTTCAACTACAGGCGGACGGAACCGATGAGGATATCAAGGCGAGGATCGGAAAAGCAAGACAAGCTTTCATTACTCTCAAGTCTGTGTGGAGGTCAACACTCAGCACTCAGAATCAAAAATAAGGTCGGGATTTTGAACTCTGATGTGAAGTCAGTGCTACTCACTTTACGGATCAGAGACTTGGTGCCGTGTCATGAAGAGCACTTCGAAAAAACTACAGACCTTGATCAACAGCTAGCTGTCCTCGCTCAAGATGAGATGGCCGGCCAGGAAAGATCAGCAACAGGGATCTCTGGCAATGATCGAACCAACCAGGAACTGATTGTGAAACAAATAGGCTGGAAGAAATGGAGATGGATTGGCCATACGCTGAGGAAACCATCAAGTGAGTGACATCACTAGACAAGCCATTGCTCGAGTGGAACCCGAAAGGGAAGCGGGCGGCGATTTGGTCGTCAGTGCAAGGTTGACTTTGAGTAGGTCATGTGAGGAGGAGATGAAAGCGTGTGGCAGACTTGAAGCTGAGTGAAAAAGTTGGCAGAAAACAGAAGGCAATGGAGACGCGCAGCTGAAGCTGTATGTTCCTCTAGGAATTAAAGGATATAATAATAATAATAATAATAATTGTTATTATTATTAAGTATCTGCACAAGCTACCAACTAGAATAGATAGATAATATGGTTTGATGTAAACTTTTGAAATCGATTTTTCTTGTTCTATTTTCTCTTTTTAATAGATGAAAAATCTTTGCACAAGAAAGCGAATCATCATCAAGGATCATCTAGTCTTCCATGGCATTTCTCCCTATGGGCTGGTGGATTCTCTGGCCTCTTGGCTAAAACTGTTATCTACCCTCTGGATTTAGTTAAAAAGCGCCTAGAAATCCGTGGTTTCGAAAAAGCACGTACCGATTTCGGTACACTACCGAAAAGTTATACACCAGCCACTTATAAACATATCAGTCTGTTGCAAATGAATAAAAGTCAATATTTCGCTACACTAACTTGTCTGGCGGATATTCTTCGACAACAAGGTCTACGTGGTATATTTAAAGGTTGGATACCGTCTGCAGTGAAGGCCACACTGACTACAGGATTGACATTTTGGTTTTATGAACAATATCGTTGGCTATTGTTGAATTATCTTTCCTAGAACATCTAGTCAGTGTAAACTTTATTTTATTTTGTACAACTTTAGATTATTTACTACTATTATTATTTTATTTGTAGGCTATTTATTCATATTTATTTTAATTATATATTATGTATAAAAATAGATATTTATCGTAAATCTTTGATATCGTTGTCAATCTGTTCAAAGAATTCCCGAACTTAGCGCCTACAGGTTACTGGCTGAGCTCGTCGGTCAATATTCAGTTGCCTACTGGGGTTGGGATGCGTTGCTGTTGGTTCACAGTGGGAGAATGCTCCAGTTTTGCTCGCGGATGATTCATGTCGGTCGGAGAAACTTTGAAAAGCAGCAGACAGAGAGAGAGAGTACTGGAGACAGTCAGCTGTTTCGTCCTGCTTTAGGAGTCCGCTTCAGCACTACGCACCTATGCCGTTGAATTCAGACCCAGGACCTTCTGGCTACACAAGGCTACTTCGGTGACCATTTAGTTACTGGGACCGACGAATTCTAACTTCTTCCGATTCGTGATTTTAGGGTGAGTGATACCAGCCAATGTCATATCGCTAGTGAGTAATTCGTCCTTACACCCGACTTGGTGAAGGTGGACCCCACTAGTCGTCAATCATGAGGGAAGTCGAATTTGGATTCCCGGCTGATGCATTCTTAAACATCGCTTAGTAAGTTTACATTAGCCGGTGGGAAGCGTGGAGAACGAAGGGAAGCTGAGTGTAAGGTTGGCGCTTCCACTCCGTGATTCATGATTCCATCTCCACTCCACCTGAAGAAGACCGCAGACAACAGGCCAAATTGGAGATGTGTTGTTGAAGCCCTACAGTCCGATTAGAACCTAAGGGAACAATGATAATAATAACAGTATAATAATAATATATTGATAGTAATTCAAAGCGTTTACGTTTGGGTCCGTAAACACACCCAAAAATTCTCTATTTTTCACTATTGTGCGTCGGTGGCACAGCGGTTAGGACTCTCGCCGATCATACACATGGTCCGGGGTTCGAGCCCCCCCCCAGCCGACGCACACCTGATATCTATGATCGGCGTGCAAAATTTGGGCTATTGATATCACCTGCTGAAAATTCCATACTTGTACCAAAAATACGGTGTGGAATCAAGCTATAATCAGAAAAAAAAGACAAGGTTGCCTGCTATCTCCAATGATTTTCTTGATTGAGGTAGAGTGGATAATATGACAGACAGCGGTGGGCAGCGAAGAAACAGGCGTAAAATGGACTCACACAAAAAACGAACTTGGAGAATCTGGACTTCGCCGATGTCAAATATATGTCTGATTCTTCACAAAATGGAAGATATGAAAGTGATGAAAAGAAACAAGTTGGCAGAAGAAGCATCCAGAAAAGATACGATATCAGGTGAACATAGAGAAAACAGAGGTAGGTGATGAAGATTCCTGGCCAACACCAACAGCAACAACAACAACAGACACCAATCAGCCAGCATAAATGGGACGAACCTGAAAGAAACAACCTTCTTTGCCTACCGACCTGCCTGGGAAGCATCGTTTCAACTACATGCGGAATTGACGAGGATATAAAAGCGAGAATCGGATAAGCAAGACAAGCTTTCATTACTCTCAAGTCTGTGTAGAGGTCAACAGCACTCAGCATCAAAAATAACATCCGGATTTTCAACTCCAATGTGAAGTCAGTGCCACTTACTATACGGATCAGAGACTTGGCGCCGTGTCATGAAGAGCATCTCCAACAAACTTCAGACCTTCATTAACAGTTGTCTTTGCTCAATACCTCGCTCAAGATGAGATGGGCCGGTCAGAAAAGATCAGCAACAGGGATTTCTGGCAATGAGCGAATGGATTGTACAAGAAATATGCAGGAAAAAATGGAGCTGGACTGACCATATACTCTGAGAAAACAAACCATCCAGTGAGTGACATCACACGCCAAGTCATAATTCGAGTGGAATCCCAATGGAATGAGAATTGGGAAGTTGGTCGTCAGTGTGAGGGTGACATGGAGGAGGTCATGTGAAGAGGAGATGAAAGCATGTGGGCAAATGTGGAGTCAGGTGAAATCCGAATTCAAAGGAAACAATAATAATAATAATAACCAAAATTGATTAATACACTTAAAGGTTAATTCTGACAGATGTTTGTTTGAATAAATTATGCCCTTTAACACTTTCTCCTAAATACAGGATATATATATATATCTGTTATTCTAAAGTCTTTGTGATAAAGCCGAGCGAAGTATGCATTGAATATGATGTGCACTTTGTGATGATGTGTATTCACCCACTTTCTTTTCCCGCATTCCACTCTTAGTGTTATTCTACCCCCCTCACCCTCTGATTCGCAAACCCCCTCCCCCTCCACCCCTTCTGGGAGACATTATAATTTTACATACCATATTCTTTCTCCTCTTCCTATATTATTTGCAAAAGTCATTTGAAGCTAGTAACTAGTGTGATGTGTCTAGTCCTCTTATTGATGCAGACTGGATTGCATCAATCAGTCAGGTTTGCAATGTGGCCACCATTCTAGGTAGCCCTGTCTGACTACAGCACTGGGTGACGCGGGTTCGAATCTCAGAGAGATGGGACATAAGTTCCTTCAAGGCGGTTGCAGATACGCTTACCTTGCTGTGACTGACTGGTGAGGGCCAACTTACACGAAACCTAGGTCCTGGCAAGCAAGGCTTCCTGTGGCTGATCGCCTCCAACCATCTAATGTCATCAAAAAACGTAGATGTGATTCATATGAATTGTGATCAAGTTTTGACTGAAACATCGAATGGGATAAAGCGAATCGTTAAGAATCTCATAACGACAACATAAGAGTGTATTTTCGTGCAACTAACACTTTGTAAGCTTATCACCACTAGTGAAGGTTAAGAATAAAATAGAAGAATTTAGATATTATAGAGAAGATTTGTAGCTCAGGTGGATGATTTTGATGTGGTTTTGTTCTCTGAGCTGGATGGTTAGTTTGCGAAGCTTTCATCACCTTACTGGGTGACATCTTCAGCGCATACTTCAATTTGAAGTGAGCTTTTAGATTTCTCCACGATTTTATTGATCATCCCTCTTGGTGACCTTGGACGTGATTGGTTGTTTATGTGTGTTTTCACATCTTCTAGGTTACTTGTATTGGAACTGACTGTTTCTTTGACTTGAACTTTGGCCCTTTGTGTGTGAAGTTTCTTTCTTATTGGTTGATAAATTTTGTCTATCTCGATGTGTCTATTGATTGATGATCCACTGGAATGCCAAGCTTCTAAAAATTCTCTAGCATTCTTGTTATTTCCTTTGTCTAATATTTGAACGCTGGTTGTCCCAGTCGAATTGATGTCCGTAGTTGTCTGTGTGTAGTGAAATGAGGGAGTGGATATCATGTCTTTTGACGGCCAGTGGATCATCAATCAATAGACACATCGACATAGACAAAATTTATCAACCAATAAGAAAAAATCTTCACACACAAAGGGTCAAAATTCAAGTCAAAGAAACAACCGGTTCCAATACAAGTAACCTAGAAGGTGTGAAAACACACACAAACAACCAATCACGTCCAAGGTTACCAGGAGAGATGATTAATAAACTCGTGGAGAAATCTAAATGCTCACTTCAAATTGAAGTATGCGCTGAAGATGTCACCCAGTAAGGTGATGAAAGCTTCGCAAACTAACCATCCAGCTCAGAGAACAAAGCCACATCAAAAATAGAAGAATTTAAAACAATTAGTCCCTTTTATAAATTTTGATAGTGTTATTAGAAGACGGAGATTATCTGAAAAGGTATGTGATGTATTTCCGCTAAACATTTCGAACAATCTGACCCCTCACACATTTACTTGTCAAGTCAAAATATATATAGAAAGGTTAAATTAAACGAAGTGAGAGAAAAAGGAATTAAGAATAATTAACACAAACGTTTGGTAATCCAATCATCAAATAGGGATTACCAAGGTAGGTGGGTTGAGAGTAATGACAAACTGTTTTTGAATACACATACATAAAAAGATAGGAAAATGTATTCATTTGATGTTAATTCTTTGTTTACTAATGTATCATTGATTAAGACTGTTGATATTCTTTGTGACTATATATCTTCTAGTTGTTTTTCATTCCCTTTCCCTTTAACTGATTTGAAAGATTTATTATTATTATTATGTACTGACAACGTCCATTTCACCTTTGAAGGCGAACATTTTCGACAAGTAGATGGCGTTGCTATGGGGAGTCCATTAGGACCTTTGTTAGCGGACGTTTACATGTCTTATGTTGAAAACTTATCCTTTGATTTCATTTCAAAATTGCCCTTCTATAGGAGGTATGTAGATGATATCATCTTGAGATGCGACGATCATGAAGATGTGAGTCGTCTATTAGACAGACTTAAATTTGTACAGAGTAATATTAGTCTTACATGCGAGGAAGAAAGTCGCAACCAGCTTGCATTTTTAGACATACTTCTGAGTCGAAGAGATAATGGTTCAATAAGACGGTCTATCTACAGAAAGCCCACTTGGACAGGGCAATACACTAATTTTCACAGTTTCTGTCCATTACAGTATAAGAGATGCTTGGTGAAGTGTCTATTTAAGAGGATTCAGCGTATTTGCACGGTTAATGTTAATACACAAAGAAAACAAAATGTTGATGGATACTCTTGTTGAAAACGGATATCCTTTAAAATTTGTAAACAGGTGTAGAAGTCATTCAAATGAACTGTTGTCAAGATTTGATAGAATAGTTCTAAAATATTTGGGCGCCGAACGAAACGTTGGAATTACTCATTTCAATCTCGCTGAGATTTTACAAATATAATTTTTACAAAGGTACAGAAGTCAATTAGTCCCTAATTTTCTATAGTTTGGTTTGTAAGGGTTAGTTATGTTTTTACGAGTTGATCATGGATTGATATCAGTTAGAGAACCATTGAAAACCAGCCACGAGGAATACTGGATAGCTGTTTCATCAGCCTAGTTTTGGAATCATCGGCAGTACGCACCCACTGGGATTCGA